AGTTTATAATCATCTGCTGATGATGCTAACATGGTTAGCGAAACGCGCGTCCAGTGTAAAAGTAAAAGTGTTTTGGTGTATTGTGGTGATTTAGTGTTTTTATTTTGCTGTTTAATACCAAAGGTTCCAATCCTCAACTGTAATGTATAGTTAATATCTAAAAAAATATTTTTTTCGAAAAAATTCTGACTGCGCCACTGCATTCTACACAGATTTTTGCATAGTTGCTGAAATAAACAAACTATCAAACATCTTCAAAAAGTACAAAATTTGACAATCCCCCTGTAGCTTCGAAACCGATCAAGATAGCCATGATCCGTTTGCGGCATTGTGATTTTTTCAAAAAAAGAACCCGAGACTGCAGTATCAAAATTTGAATATTTCTTACGGTTTCCTAGATACCCTATAGAAATAACCAAAATGGTCCACCCTGTACATCTTACAACGCCATAAGTGGTAATAACAAGTAAGAGGGTGCTATTAATGCACAAACTAATACTCACAGAATTAAAAACTAATTTTGAAAGTGGTATCAATCAAACTTACTTTTCTGAAACTTATTTTTCTGACTGCAATCAAGGGTAATAAAAGATCTTTATTCGTTTTTATTCGACCATACCAACAGGCATGGTAGGCTATTAAGATCGTTAAAAAAAAATAATTTCACTCAAAATGGGTTATTTGGGTCATAAATGACCTAACTACAAAATATTTTCATAGTGTCCGTCTGCCCGTCTGTAACACGATAACTCTAAAACCGCTAAACCGATTTTAACCAAATTTGGCACAAAAATACTGTGGCACCCGAGAATCTGGCAATTAGTTTTTGGTGGAGGTGGGGAGTTGGTAAGGGGGTATGGGAGGGGGTTAAAAAATTTAAAAAATCTTAAATCCAAAATTACAGTAGCAAGCAAAACGCGGTTTTCAATTTAAGATTAGGAATAATATTTGCAACAAAATTTGTAATAACATCAAAATCAGTCAAAGTCGCAGTTTTTGAGATAATTGAAACTAAAAGAACTGCTTACAAACTACCAACTTTTTGTTAACATATTTTAGTATGAGCAGCTATACGTGCCTCCCGGCGCCAATTTTCTTTCGTATCATCGTATTGTCGGATAACGAATGCATGAAAATCAAGCTGTACGATCATGCTTTAATAATGAAAATAATAATATTGAAGTTTGAAATAAGTTAATATTTATAAAAGTCATCAGAGTTAAATTATATTTTCGTCTTTCGCGCGAGATTCAAATGGGTGGAATCCTAACTGAAATTACAACCGTGTCGAGGTTTAATTTTAATTTAACTTTTGTGTAACTGCTCTCAAGAATGTAACATGGAAAAGGTGTTTTCGAGAGTGAAATTACCGACCATTGTTTCAAGTAAGGAAGGTGTCGTCTAAAGCCGCTGTAGCTGCGAAGTTTTCAAGTTATTTTATCTATTAAGGTCTGGTTTCTGTTTCTAGACTAAAAGGGTCTCGTTATTTATTACTAGTAGATTTTTCTTTCGTTTATTCACTATTTTTAATGCATTTTTTTCGAATTGGTTTTCGAATATTTTGTTACAATCTGATTTGTCATTCGAGTTTTAGAGACAATAAAACACAAAATTTATATATTATTAACAATAGCTCTAAAAGTTAATTTTGAAGTAATTTGCTTTTATTAAGAGTGTTTTATTAATTTCTGTTAATAATTTTGTAACCATATTTGAAATAATCAAAGTTTAACATAATTTTTCACAATATTAGTATTTATGATAACCATTTCTTTGCTATGCAGATAAATGATAATATTTTTTTTTAATTTATCACGTATTACTCGTATTTTGATTAAAATAACAATACAATATGTTGTATCATCGATCTGAATATAGGAAATCCCATGCAAAATATAACAACGATAAATACGTTTATTTGCCGGTTTTATATTATATCCCCATATTTTACAGAAAAAATTTTAGAACCTTTTAAAAAAAGTAAAGTAAAGTTTTCAGTTAACGTCTCCTTTTTGCTGCCAGGGCTAATCTGGACGGGGCCTACTTTGTTTACGCGGAATTCGAACCGCGGTCCTCGGCCATATCATGGTCAATGGCCTACCGACTTGGCAAGTGTCTATGTCGACTCTTACTCACGAGATATCCGATCTCATCCGGCCTCGAACCGGCGTGAATAAGCAGTGTGTGTCAATAGATTTTACACTTTTGCCCTTTTTTGGACAACAGCACTGTACAGAGTTTCCAACCGGTCACCCGTCCATCCACCAGTATCGCCTTACGTCGCTTAACTTCGATGTTCTAATAGGAACCGGTCGACGTAGCTGGGCCGTTGCCAGAACCTTTTAGAGATCTTTTCTTTTCTTCTTTCAATTGCGATGCAAATCAACAATTAAAAAATATAACTGAAGGATTTCAAGTATCAGGGAACACTTATACAGACCGGACCACCGTAGTAGTAACATAGGCAGAACCGGACGAATTAGCGTATACCCGTCCCGGATAAAAAGCAAGCGAAAAAATGCGATAAAATAAAAATAGGTAGATATGTGATAAGAATGTTTCAGAATTTGTATTTATTCGTGTTTTAATAGCCAAAACGAATACATAGATTTTCGCGACAGTTCTCGTGTGAAATTTATTTTTTAAGTAAAATAATGGATGTTTACGAAGTTCGTGAGAAAATTTTAATTGTAAAATGGTATTTCCAAAATAGATCTTATCGGGATATACAAACATTTTTTCCACACACTTTTGTAAACAGGCCAATTTCATCTTTACCAAATCAAGAGTTATTAATAATTTTGAAACATATGGGTGCGTGTCCCCACAAAAACACAAAAAGCCTGATGTGTTGATTAATGAAGAACAGGAGTTAAAGCAAGTGTTCATTTGTGCTTTCGCGGATCAAAATCCCACGTTTTCAAGTAATCAAATTGCTGAGGTGGTTGCCCTGCCCACAATGCCCGTATTGTTCAAGAATATTTAAACAATACTGTTCCCAACCGTTTAATTAGTGGATATGGAACTATTTTATGGCCCGCTAGATCACCAGATCTTTCTCCCAATGATTTCTTTTTGTGGGGTTATGTAAAATCCAAAGTGTATGGTCATAATAGGGCTAATAATCTGGATGAGCTTCAAGTAAAAATACGAGAAGGTTTCTAAACTATTAACCCTAATATGTTAGCCAATGTCAGACGGGAATTTTACGACCTCCTAGCTCAAGAAGGTGGTCTTTTTTTGAACACTTGTTATAACTTTTTTTATTTAGGATTTATTTTTAGTTTTGGCTTGTAAACACACTCAAATATTAAATATTTAAGTATTTTTATTTTAAATGTTACCTTAAGTGAAGGTAAACACTTAAAATGAAAATAATAAATACTCGGTACTCCTCGCGTCGTGTTGCTAGTGTCACGACCGACCCGTCCAAGCACAACTGCAACTGCGTACTGCCTGACCAGCCGACTAGCCGGCAGTGAATCTCTAGTCCGAACGCAAATCGGGTAAACGTAAATTCATCCGGCAACTTGCTATGTTACTAGTAGCCTGGTCTTCTCTGTATATAAAATACTGCAAATATAAAACCAATATAATATTGATAGGGATCAAAATAATCGAAAAAATAAGTAAATATTCTAAGTGGAAAAAAACAAGTAGGTACCAGAATGCTCTGAGAAATAGTTGTTGAAAAACATAGTACCACTGATTGATGAATTTTGAATTAAAGAAACATAATCTTCAATGCTTCTTTAATTCAAAATTCATCAAGACATGTATTTGTAACATCCTCAAAAATGGTACCTTTTTATTTTTTTTTCATAGCAACTGTTAAAATTGCCTTATATCTATCAAAATGAGTAGATAAAATAGTACTTTAACCTCAAGGGTAGATTAAATGATACTTTAGCAGCGAGGATAGGTTAAAAACTTTATTTCTTCTGGCACGTTTTTTAATTGCTTCCATTTTTGAAAATGTTTGTATTTTTTTTCATAAGTTATTCGGGATTTAAATGGAAGTAGTTTGGATATGGCGTTTGTCGCCTCAGCCTGAATATCTGTTGGTAATTTACTTATTTCGTTTTGAGCCATTTCTGGCTCTAATTCAATCAGCAATCGACATGAAAGAGAATTAAAAAATATTGACGCAAAACTGACAACTAAAGAGAAGAGACAGCTTTATTTATTTGTCAAATTACGTAGAAACCAACGTCAACCCAGCACAATATTTTTTCTACTCGTAATAAATTTCTTGAAATAATAATTTCTGAATATTTTTTAAAACGTAACTCGCTATGGATATAAGAGTTGTTTAATTTTAACAAAGGTAGTGAGCCAACCGGCATATTTTTCGAAACTGAATATCCGGCATACAATTAAAGGATTTTTTGTCTTGTTTTACGCGGCGATCAAAAGAAAAACCCCGGCCCTCGTAATAATCAACCGTAAGCGGACACCAACAGAATTTCAAGTTTGTTTTAATTAAAATGAAGCTATTGCAGCGGGCGGACCAAGCTTTTTTAAAACATTTTTACGATTAATTGAAAAACAGCAAATAGTAGTAGATCGGACCGTTTGATCTGAATTGGATGTGTTCACTTGTCGTCAGTTTACCTAAGGCTTGCTGTACGAAGTTGAACCGATGAGATTAGAAAAGCAAGGCTTCTGCCGGTAATAAAACATAAAACGCTCACGCAAAGAAAAACGTCTTTATTCTGCTACTGTAAGAATGCAACTCTCAACTCATCTGTGCGAAACACTCGCCGGACGCCATCAAGGCACGTAGGCCGGTCCGTTGCAACGTTGCCGTTAGCTCTTAGAAATAACAAAAAATAGGTACATCTAAATTTTCCAACAAAGTACATACAACAATACTAAACATTCCGCCGCCCTTGAAAGGTTCGGCTTTCAATGAAATAAGAACAAAAAATAATAATCAGGATAGCAATAACAATGATCTAGAACTATAGAATCAACTAGAACAGTAATCACAATCAAGTTCAATTTAAGCTCTCATTCATTGGCAGGACACAGATCTTGCTGATAGCTCGTTTAAACACACCATTTTTGGTTTTTACACTCACTACACGCACTATCGAGTCGGAACCAGGATGCACTTCGATGATCCTACCGAGTGGCCAAAACATAGGAGGCAAATTATCCTCCTTCATTAACACCATCGTTCCCACATCAAGTCGGGGATTGCCAGTTTGCCACTTCGTGCGCAGCTGCAGCAAATGTAGGTATTCTTTAACCCATCTGGACCAAAAATGTTGGAATATTTGTTGAGTAAGATGGTATCTTTTGACGTAATTAGGTTTTGATTCCAATAAAGGTTTCTGTGGAACAGCCGTCAAGACTCGTCCAATGAGGAAATGTCCTGGGGTTAGTGCTTCCAGATCAAAAGGATCATTGGATAATGGGGTTATAGGGCGTGAATTAAGGACAGCTTCCACTTGTGTTAATATGGAATAAAACTCCTCATACGTTAAATGTCGTTGATTCAAAACTCGTTTTAAGTGATGTTTCGTAGACTTCACAGCGGCCTCCCAAAGTCCACCGAAATTAGGCGATCGAGGAGGTATAAAATGAAATTTAATTTGATTATCAGTCAAATAACTTTGAAACATGTCATGATTAGCTAAATTTTGTATAGCCAATAGCTCATTATTGGCACCTACAAAGTTTGTAGCGTTATCGCAATATAAATCCGTGCAAAGACCACGTCTGGAAACAAACCTCCTTAGAGTGTTCAAAAAACCGTCAGTAGTTAAGTCAGTAATGAGCTCTAGATGTATCGCCTTGGTTGCCATGCAAACAAAGACGCAAATGTAAGCCTTTATAATTCTGCGGTTTTTTAATTTTCCATCTTTCAACTCATAAGGACCAGCAAAATCAACTGATGACGTCAAAAATGGAGAAGTAGGAACTACTCGCGGAGCCGGTAATTGACCCATTTTAGCAGTTAACCCTTTAGGTTTGGATTTAAAACATATAACGCATTTGCGAATACAATTCTTAACCGAATTTTTTCCATTTAAGGGCCAAAATCTTTGCCTTATAAATGAAAGAGTGGTTTGAGTACCTGCATGTAAACTGCGTAAATGCTCGTTTTCAATAATCAGACGTGTGAATGGATGTGAATGAGGAAGAATAATCGGGTGTTTTGAGTGATAACAAATATTAGCATTTTGAAGTCTACCACCAACAAGAATTAAACCGTTTTCAAGAATAGGTGATAAAGATCTTAAATTACTTTTAGGATTTACAGAACCAAATTCTTGAAGTGATCGGAAATCAGAGGGAAATGCGGTCATTTGTACCATTTTAGAAAGTGATTCTATGCTGTTATTTATCTCAGAGGGAGATAAAATATTAGAATATTCTCGCTTATCTTTCTTGAGTTTTAAGTTATTAATAAATCTTAAACAATAACCAAACACGCGAATTAATTTATTATAATTTGAATATCTTTCGAATATCTCGTGTAATTCAGTATTGGTATTAAAAAATGTCATAGTTTGAGGTTTATACTCCGGAACCTTTTCCGAAATTTTCGCAAATTTAGTAATATTACAATCGGTTGGCCAGAATTCTACAGGTTTTTGAAGATATTCAGGTCCGTGCCACCACAGCTCTGAATATTTTAACTCATGTAGAGTACAACCGCGGGAAATAATATCTGCGGGGTTAAGAGATGAGGCTATGTAATTCCAATTTTTACCATTGTTAGCGAGTGGATCTCCGACACCCGATTACTAACAAAAGTTTCCACATTCGTGGTTGGCCTGCTATCCATGACAGAACTATCGTAGAATCCGTCCAAAGATATATCTCATTAATTGGAAGATCTAAAATAGATAAACATTTAGATAATAGTCGTGACATTAACAACGCTCCGCAGAGTTCTAAACGTGGTAGAGAAATTGATTTCAACGGTGCTACGCGGGACTTTGCACAAAGTAAATTACATTTGATACAATCCTGCTCGTCAATAGAACGTAGATATATTGCGCATCCGTACGACTTCTCACTAGCGTCAGAAAAAGCATGTATTTGTATATTACGAGGTTTAGCTACTAGAACGCACCTAGGAACTTGTAAGGATTGAATGTCTAATAAGTCGGTTTTAAAATTTAGCCATTGTGTGTAAAGATCATTAGGAATTGGCTCATCCCATTCTAGTTGAAGTAACCACAAATTCTGCATAAGAAGTTTTGCGCGTATCAAAATAGGACCCAAAAGAGAGAGAGGATCGAATATTTTTGCAATAAAGGACAGAATCGATCTTTTTGTCGCTTGATCGGTTTTAAATTCTAAATCTTGACCTTTATACCGAAAAATATCTAAAGAAGGAATCCAGCATACGCCTAACGTTTTAGTAGATGAGTCATCCGTGATCAAGTACTGCGTATCTGAAGTAGCCGATATAGTATTTAAAAAATTAACATCGTTAGATTGAAATTTCCGTATTTCAAATCCGTATTTTAACAAAATGTTAGATAGATTTTCGCGAATTTTGATTAAGTCTGTGCTATCCGAAGCACCTGTTAAGATGTCATCCATATACATATCTTTATTTATTATGTCGCATTCAGTGGGGTATTCATGGATATTTTCTATTGCAATTTGTTTAAGACAACGCGTAGCTAAAAATGAAGCTGGTTTTTCGCCATAAGTTAGCGTTTGTAAATTATAATATTTTACTTCATCTTGCGGATTTTCTCGCCAAACTATTCGTTGTAAATTTTGATGTTCAGGATGTATTAATATCTGGCGGTACATTTTCGTCAAATCGCCAATAAATGCGGTCGTGTGTCTTCGAAATCTCAACAAAACTGAAAATAGATCATTTTGTAAAATCGGACCATCCATTAAAACATCATTTAAAGATATATTTGAAGTAGTTTTAGCACTAGCGTCAAACACCACCCTGATTTTAGTCGTGACACTATCTAATTTAATGACACTATGGTGAGGTAAATAATAAATCGGTGTTGATGACACTTGATCTCTTGAAATTTGTCTCATGTGACCGAGTTTTTCATATTCTTGCAAAAATCGCTATATTGTACTTTTAAGTTTTCGTTTTTCGACAATCTTTGTTCCACGGAGTATAGTCTATTTAAAGCACGGTTTTCTGAATCCCCAAGAACCGAAAAATTACCTTTTAATGGTAGTTTGAGTATAAATCTACCCTGGTCGTTTCTAGAGAAAGTGTTCACAAAATGCTGTTCACACTCGCGTTCTTCAGAAGTCCAAGATTTTTCAGCTATCTCAGGAACTTCCTCAACTTTCCAAAATCTTTCAATTTGTGAGTTTAAATTGAAATCATCTTGGCAAGCGTCTGTGTTTAAGAAGAAACATTTTGATTGGTGTTGATTTATGGGAATGTTGCCAGCTACAATCCAGCCAAGAACGCTGTTCTGTAGGACAGGTAAACCTTTTCCCATTTTTATTTGACCTTGGGTAAGTAAACTATAAAAAATCGAAGATCCAATAAGCATATCTATGTTCGAAGCGACGTTAAAATCGGGATCAGCGAGTGGAAGATCGGGTATTTTTAAATTTGATATGTCAAACGACATTTGTGGTGTGAAATCGCTGATTTTATCAATCACTAAGCATGAGATATTTGATTTGTATGTATCGCGGATAGACGAGATTGTTGTGTTAACTTGTTCATGGATTGTTGTTTTAATTTGGTTTATTCCAGAAACTGGCATATTTACATTTCGTGTGCGTAAGTTTAATCGTGTTACCATTTCTCGGGTTATAAAATTTGATTGTGAGCCGCTATCCAGTAAGACTCGGCATGAAACGGGAGTATTATTTGCGTCAAAAACATGAATTAGCGCTGTCGCTAATAAAACAAAAGGTTGGGACAGTTTTTGAGAATAATGTGACAACACTGTACAATTTTGGGTTTCATTTGGATTATTATTGATACGCTGATTCATATTACCTTGGTCTGTTGCCGAAGATACCTGTGAAATATTGACATTTGTTTGAGGTCTAGGGTTTGAAGGATTACTGTTGTTGCGTTTTTCAACATTTGTTGAAGTGGACGCCCCTGATTGATGTAAAAGGGTTGAATGTCGACCATTGCAAATCCTACAACCTGATGATCTGCACTCAGAGTTTCTATGTCCTTTTCTTAAACAGTTTGTACAAAGAGATAACCGCTTTACCTCCTCAAAACGAGACGACACTGGTAAAGATTTAAATTTCTGACATACATATATAAAATGTTTATTATTGCATATATGACAAATAGGACTAGAATGTTCAAAAGATTGGAAACTTTGTTTTTGTCGACATACCGGATTTCCGCTTGATTTCGTGTCTAAAGCCTCTAAAACCTGACATCTTTGTGTCAAAAACTTGGAAAAGTCGTTAATTTTAGGCTTAGTTATGTCTTTACTGAAATTTTCCCACTCGCGTTTTGTAGAAAAATCCAGTTTGGAATTTAAAAAGTATATTAAAATTGTGCTTGCACTTTCGATGGATTCGCCTAAGCTTTCCAAGGCTCGTAAATTTTTTAAAAACGTATCTAAGAAATTGCGTAACGTGATATGCGATTCCTTTTGTAACGATGGTAGATCAAAGATTTCTTTAAGATGTGCGTTAATTATTGCCTTTTTATTATCATATCTTTCCGACAGTAGGTTAAAAGCTGTTTCATAATTTGCATCCGAAAGGGGTAGAGATGCAATGACTTGCGCAGCTTCACCTTTCAGACAGGATTGAAGATGGTAATATTTTCGATGTTTTGTAATGTACCGTTGTTATGTACTAAGGCAGTGAATGTATCTCTAAATCTCTGCCATTCTGAATATTGCCCCGAAAACTCCGGTATTTTTATGGCTTGTAACTTAGTATTTGGCTGCAACTGTTGTACAGCAAATGGGTTAAACAGCGGCGCTGTTGGATTAACCGGTTGTGAGAGATGGGAAATTAAATCTTTCGCGGCAGAAATGGCTTTAAAATACCTAACTTGAAACTCTTCGCGTTCCTCACTTGCTTGATCCGCGTTTAAACTACCTGTTTCTAGCAAAACATCTTCGAGCTCACCCTGTATATTCTTAAATTCCGATAAAATATTTTTTGTTGCTTCGTAACGCGTTTCTATTTCGGTCAGTGTATATTTTTCCGCGGTATACTTATCTAAGTAAGTTTGAAACCGTGTGAGCTCTGCCTTAATTTGGCCTCGACGAGCTATTAACCGTTTTTCTTCTCTTTGTCTTTCTGTCATTTTGTCGTTTTAAATATTTTTCAAATGAAATATGCGAGAATTCGAGAAATTATTGTTTTATAAACTCTAATTGTGTTATGTTTAATCGAAATTAACCACAGAGATAGAGAAAGATCGATAATTTTTCATTATTTAACGAGTTTTTTGTTTAATTTGTGCAAATCATATGTTTTATGATAAATTATTTAATATTCTTTTTGTAAAAGTTGCCTGTTACAACGTGTATATAACTATTTTACCTAATTTATTTACCTGTTGTGACGTATACGACAATAATCACTTAAATTATTATAAGTTATAGGTTATTATCTTAAATATATCAACACAAGTGGCGAAAAAAAGGATATAAATAGGTTATATATGGTTTAAATAATGGTTAGAAAGGATACGGGATACCTAACTTTGTTGAATCGTGTTCTCGTGCTTGTTTGACCGGAGCCTTGTCAATATGGCTGACGGCGTACGTGATTTTCTTCGGTATTATTACGTTTTTCGTGGTGCAGCTTCAGCGATGCTTCCTTTGTTTTGTTCAAATATTCGGCTCGAAGGACCAACTTTATGTTCACTTGTCGTCAGTTTACCTAAGGCTTGCTGTACGAAGTTGAACCGATGAGATTAGAAAAGCAAGGCTTCTGCCGGTAATAAAACATAAAACGCTCACGCAAAGAAAAACGTCTTTATTCTGCTACTATAAGAATGCAACTCTCAACTCATCTGTGCGAAACACTCGCCGGACGCCATCAAGGCACGTAGGCCGGTCCGTTGCAACGTTGCCGTTAGCTCTTAGAAATAACAAAAAATAGGTACATCTAAATTTTCCAACAAAGTACATACAACAATACTAAACAGGATGCTTTAACCTGTAATAAAAATCGGTATATCAACAGAAACATTTTAATAACGCATCGTTTCATCTCAGTTTAGATAAATACGAAATGGATATTCGGGTTGTTTCGTTTTGATTTTGGACGTCGATAGCATAAATTGCCGGTTTTATTGCAGCGGTCTCGAACAATTGTAGTTTTTTAAATTGTTTACTAACTTTAGTCTTTAAAATAGGTACCTATAGTCTGTCCAACGAGAAGATCCTTGACAGTTATAGATGTGTCTGTCATTTTAATTTCAAAGTGGTTTATTTTATTTTACAAAGAAATAAGTTGGTACAACTGGAACGCATAGCAGGATATATTTAAAATTTGATTGACAAGATGACAAGTGATTACTTCAAAATATTGTGAAAAAAACTGTATAAAACTGAAAAAATGTAATCGAGTTATTTTATTTAATAAAAACGGTATGTGTTAATACAAAACAAACAAGAACAAGACACTACATACCAAAAAAATATAAAAAAGAACTATTATTTACTTTCAAGCTTTATGAAACTACCCGCATTTATGATTATATTTATCAATATAACTTATGTACAAATACAAATTTGTAATATTCCACAGGAATAAATAAAACAACATAGGTAAATAAAACAAACTATTTTATTAATAATAACACTTACCAAATTTTATACCTCACAGGTTGATTAATTAACTTTAATCTTAATTTTTTTAAACCAGTACCTTTTGACATTATTTTTCTGCAGTACTAAAATCCATTATTTACCTATCGTGTGATGTCGATATTTTACAGCTACTCCAGTTTTTAGTATGTGTTTAGTTTGATCCTTCTACCATATACGAGATGCACTTATCTACGACGAAATGGTATACAAACTTTATCGATGGCAACTTCATTGGTGTATAAGACTTTCTGCCTGGGCAGCGAGTATTAACCATAAACTGTGCTCTGGGTCTACAGTTAATTTTCACTCAATTTTTCCTCCACTTGACTTCAAAAGACACAAAACACACGTAATAATACGAATCAAAATGCATCATCTTCCAAAACGCAGGGTATTTAACAAAAGTTGACACAAAATTATAACCTATAATTTGGCAAGACTTTGACAAACGTCAAAAATGACAAAAATCTAAAGGCGAGTTCATACGCATCGGCGTCCGTTTGTCGTTCATCGTTCCGTCAAACCAATAAAATTGAAATACGATCTGTCATTTTTTAAATAAACCAATAAAACTGGTTAAAAACAACAAGACACGACGTATGACGGATTTATATTTAAACCCATCCATAGATAACTTAAAAATTATTAGAAACTTTTTTTAGTGAAATAAATAGATTGGTATGGGACGTCATCTGCTTTTCTTCTGTCATCGTCTGTCGAAATCTTACCTGAGAAAAAAAACAGAGTATATTTTTAAACAACATCTACACTATCCATGTAGACACACTATCCATCTACACAGGATCCACATGGGAAACTGATATGAAAATAGGTATTCCTCGAAGGTTACACAAGAATATTTAATTTTAATCATTGTCTAATATTATTAATTACAATATAGTAAAAAAATATAAAACAGTGACTAACTAGCGGTCTACCATTTATCGTCAAAAAAATCCCCCCACTCCCTCCTCACGAGTAGTTTTCAGGCGCTTTTAAGAATCGAAAGTAGGTCGAAGCAAACCGAAATGGGTCAAGACAACTCGAAATAAACCGAAATGCGACAAAGTTGGGCTATGAAACTGTTTCAAAGAATTTTCCGCATAGCGTAGAGGTAAAGAGTAAATAAATAAAGGTGCATTACTTATATTCAGTGCTATGAAGTTCAATAACATCGTTGTTAACAAAGATATGAGAAAATGATATAAATGTTGCATGTATTATAAATAATGAGCATATCCTAAAATTATTTTGTTTGTTTGGTAGCGAAACTGGTAGCTATAAAAAGCTCGAGAATTTTGTGTGAGAAGTGCAAACCTAAAGCATGTACTAAATATGTTTAGGAAAGTATTTTAACTTCTACAAGGTGGGTCAAAAAAGTGTGGGTGGACTGGGATGTTTCTTTTTGAATGGAACACCCTGCATATTACTGCATTTTTAGCTTCCTTTCAGATCACTTTACATAATACTAAGATATGAGTAAATATATTTCGATTGTTTCAGAGATATTAATAAATAAATAAAAAATATATTTTTTCCAGCCTTTCTCAAAAACATTATTGAAAATAAAAGAACTGTCCTGAAATCAAAACTATGTTAGGTATTTACTTTAGATGGTCTGTACTTATTTTGCTGTAAATATGGTAATTGTACATCATACAGGATGTTCAAAATTCTACGCCAAACTTTTTAAAATATAAAATAATTTTTCTTCATTTTTTTAAACGGAACACGCTGTATATTATTTTTTCAATAGAAGAAAAATTAAAAAATAAGCATTTTTGTATTTAGAGTATTTCAAAATTAGTAACTGTTTTGCAGATATTTGCTGTTTTATATATTTCATATGGAATTTTCCACAGTAAATGTTTATCAAACAATATATACAGGGTGAGTTTTCTACGATGTTCTCTATGGGTATCTCGGAAACTACTGGAGATAGAGAATCGGTTAAA